TTCTACCAAACATTTAAAGAAGTGTTAATACTTATTCTCAAAGTATTCTAAAAAATATAAGAGGAAGGAAAACTTTCAAATTCACTCTATGAGGCCAGTATCATCCTGATACCAAAACCAGATAAAGATGCCACAAAAGTGGGAACTACAGGCAAGTATCTCTCATGGATACAGATGCAAAAATCCTCAACAAAAAATGAGCAAACAGAATCTAACAATATATTAAAAAAAATCACACAACATGACTAAATGGGATTTATTCCTGGGATGCAAGCGTGGTTCAATATTCACAAAACAATCAACGTGATACATCACATCAATAAGAGAAAGGATAAAAACCATATGATCATTTCAATAGATGCAGAAAAAGCATTTGATGAAGTACAACATCCATTCATGATAAAAAATAAAAATAAAAACAACCCTCTGCAGAGTAGGTCTAGGGGAAATATATCTTAACATAATAAAGGCCTTATGTTAAAAGCCCATAGCCAAACATCATACTCAATGGTGAAAAACCAAGAGCTTTTACCCTAAGGTCACAAACAAGACAAGGATGTCCACTCTCACCACTTTTATTCAATATAGTACTAGAAGTCCTAGCAACAGCAATCAGACAACATAAAGAAATAAAAGGCATCCAAATTGGTGAGGAAGAAGTAAAACTCTCATTATTTGCAGATGACATGATACTTTGTACAGAAAACCCAAAAGACTCCACCAAAAAACTACTAGAACTGATAAATGAATTCACTAAAGTCCACAGGATACAAAATCAATGTACAGAAATCTGTTGCATTCCTGCACATTAATAATGAAGCAAAAGAAAGAGAAATTAAGAAAACAATCCCATTTACAATGGCATCAACAACAATTAAATACCTAGGAACAAACTTAACCAAGGAGGTGAAAGGCCTACTCTAAAAGCTATAAAACACTGATAAAAGAAATTCAAGATGATGCCAAGAAACGGAAAGACATTCCATGCTCATGGGTTGGAAGAACAAATATCGTTAAAATGTCTATACTAGCCAAAGGAATCTACAAATTTAGTGCAATCCCTATCAAAATACCAACCGCATTTTTCACAGAACTAGAACAAACAATCTTAAATTTTTTTAAAGATTTTACTTATTTATTTTAGAGAGTGTATGTGTGCAAGTGGGGGGAGAGGAAGAGGGAGAGTGAGAGAGAATCCCAGGCAAACTCTGTGCTGAGTGCAGGGCCCAATGCAGGGCTCAATCCCATAACCCTGAGGTCTTGACCTGAGCCAAAATCAAGAGTCAGACACTTAACCAACTGAACCACCCAGGTGCTCCCAAACAATCCTAAAATTTGTATGGAACCACAAAAGACCCCAAATAGCCAAACCAATCTTGAAAAAGAAAAGCAAAATTGGAGATATCAAAATTCCATATCTCAAGTTACATTACAACGTGGTAGCAATTAAAACTGTACGGTACTAGCATAAAAATAGATGCACAGATCAATGGAATAGAACAGAAAACCCAGAAATAAACCCATTATATGGTCAATTAATCTTCAACAAAGGAAGAATGAATATACAATGAAAAAATATCTCTTCAACAAATGGTGTTGGGAAAACTGGACAGCAACGTGAAAAATAATGAAACTGGACCATTTTCTTTCACCATACACAAGAATAAACTCAAAATTGATTATAGACCTAACAGTGAGACCTGAAATCATAAAAATCCTTGAAGAGAGCACAGATAGCTATCTCTCCAACATGGGATGTATCAACATATTTCTAGATATGTCTCTTGAAGCAAGGGAAATAAAAGCAAAAATAAACTATTGGGACTATGTCAAAATAAAAGGCTTCTGCATAGTGAAGGAAACAATCTACAAAACTAAGGAAACAATCTACAAATGGGAGAAGATATTTACAAATGGCATATCCAATAAAGGGTTACCATCCAAAATGTATAAAGAACTGATACAACCTAATACCCAAAAAACAAATAATCCAATTAAAAAATGGGCAGAAGACATGAACAGACATTTCTCCAAAGAAGACATCTAGATTGCCAACAGACATATGAAAAGATGCTCAATATCACTCATCATCAGGGAAATGCAAACCAAAACCACAATGAGATATTATCTCACATCTGTCAGAATGACTAAAATCAAAAACATAAGAAACAGCAAGTGTTGGCAAGGATGTGGAGAAAAAGGAACTCTTGTACATTGTTGGTGGGAATGCAAACTGGTGCAGCCACTATGGAAAACCTTATGGAGGTTCCTAAAAAATTAAAAATAGAACTACCCTATAATCCATTAATCACACTACAGGGCATATACCCCTCCCCCCAGAAAAACAAAAAAACCCACTAATTGAAAGGGATACCTGCACCCCTATGGTTATTGCATCATTATTTACAATAGTCAAACTGCAGAAGCAGCCCAAGTATCCACTGATAGATGAATGGATAAAGAAGATGTGGTATATATACAGTGGAATATGGTTCATCCATAAAAAAGAATGAAATCTTGCCATTTGCAACAAAATGGATACAGCTACAGAGTATAATGGTAAGTGAAATAAGTCAGAAAAAGGCAAATACCATATGATTTCAGTCTTATGTGGAACTTAAATCAAAACAAAGAAAAAATGTTTGATATAGACTCTTAACTATAGAAAACTGATGGTTACTAGAGGGGAGGTGGGTGGAGGCATGGGGGAAATGGGGTTGAGGTAGGAAGAGTACACTTATTATGATGGAAAATAAGCTGAAATAAAAAGACAAAATTTTTTTAATTAAAAAAAAACACCACAGCCCTATTTAAAGCTCTTTTAAAAAAATAACACTACTTCTCTCAGATTAGGATTGCAAATTCTAATACCTGTAAGAGTCATTAACTCAAGAGCATCATTTAAATGGAGAATATCACCTAAAAAATAAATTTGGGCAAAAAACCAACAAATGTGTGTCTCTAGGTGGTAAGGGACAAGTGTAGGAGATTTCCTTTACATGCAGAATACTTTTTGTACCTTCAGATTTCATATAAAGTACATTATTTATCTATAAAATTTGCATCCTTGCTCCAGCTAACCATCACTATTAAGAAATGCAGGCCTGGGCTTGCCAGATCTGATTTTTCAAAGAGGTTAGAAATGGGAAAATTCAGATTTTTATGTAAAATTCATAAGTTTTAAATGTTGACTTTATTCAGAATTTAGCACACAGGGCAGGCCAAACAAAACACACCTGCAAGCCATATATGGCTCACAGGCCAACAAGTTTACCATCTCTAATCAAAAATTTGATGTGTAGCTTATGATTCCAAAACTATAAATATAATTTAATGGGGGAAATCTTCAAAAAGAAAACTCCGACTTGTGGATGAAACCATATCCCCTCCTGCCCCACCATCTATTTAGTCACTATTGCTCTCTTAAACTTCCCCTTCTCTTCCTGGGTCTTTGAAAAGGCTATTAATGTTTGACCAGCTAAAATGTAAAGCAGGTCAGATCTCATCAAGGAATCTGCCCATTATCCTAGCATCTGCTCTGTTTTAAAGAGTGAAATTTCGGGTTTATTTCAAGTTGCAATTCATCTAGCCAACAAGAGAAAGGTATATGAATAATTTCTAGCTGGGTAGAAATATTCCCTCAGCAAACCAGTCAAACAATTGCATGGTTGAAAAGACCTGTAAGTTATTTTAACCTTATCATCAGGCAGTACAATGCTACGCAAAGGATAAAATGGCAGCCGTGATCAACATAGTGTTCTGAACCATGTCTGGGAACCAATCACAATTTTGGGAAAAATCTCAAATTCTCTTTAAGTTCAGCAGAGATGCTGTTTATCTCCTGAAACTGAAGCTAAGAGACTCTATGTGGGTCTAACTATTGGTTATAAGTGGAATACTACATCTATTAAATGCCCAGAGTACACCAAGGCAAGTTAAAGAAGAACTGGTTTCAGCTTTTTTTTTTTTTAAGTTTTATTTATTTAAATAATCTTTACACCCCATGTGGGGCTTGAACTGATGACCCCCAGATTAAGAGTTGCATGTTCTTCTGACTGAGTCAGCCAGGCACCCCAGAACTGATTTCAGTTTTAAAAGTAGTACTAGAGATGTACTATCTTGCGTCTCTGGTGTGCCTAAAACTCTCACCTCAATATGGGGAAAGTTTCAAAGGATTTGACTCTGGTAGTTTCAATTTTCTTTACTCAGTGCTACTAGCTCCAATTTTCCAAACAGCAGCCTTTGTTTGCCACAAGCTAGTCCAGTATCGGGCCTGAATGTCTACTCAATGACCTCTGGGGCCTGCCCCTGTGGTGAAGACACACAACCCCAGGCAGGGGTGGGAATGGGGTGGGAGTCAATAAATAGGACAATAGGACTAACGGCATCTTTGCAAGTGTTCCACTCCTGCGGGACACAGGCACTCAAGGTTTTCTTTATGTAGCTTGTGGAAATGATAAGACAGGCCACATTTCTCCTAAGAACTTCTTCATGGAAATTAAGATCTGCAATATATTCTAATTGACAAGCAATGTGTAACTCTCTCAGGTTGTGACTGGGGAAGCCATTTTATAGTAGAGTTCAGGGACCCAAGAAGATGTATCCAATTATTAAATAAAAGCCAGGCATGTTCTCTCTGAAGAACACGGCCAGAGCCCAATCTTCCCTGTCTTACATTCTGATGTGTGGATATCAGAGACTACTCTCCCATGGCCACAGGCATGCTGTTCTTCAGAAAGGACCAGAGGTGCTTGAAAATAGATAATCCATACTCCCTTTAATTATGTGCATTTGGCACCTACTATACAACAATCTGCACACATCAACATCCAGCGACTGCAGAAGGTTCCTTCTCTGGTAACTAGCAGACTTATTTAGCAATGTTTGTTCTAAGGGAAAAAAATCATAATTTACCACTTCCTTACTGTTCCATAAATCTGAGTATCAAGTAGGTTTCAAACACACCAGTCCTCAGTATAGAAAGCTCGCATTACTCTTACCTCAGCAGCTTGGGTCTCTTGATGCAGCAAAGTGAGACCAGTCAAGTCTTCTAAGAAGGAATGTGAAGAATTAAACACCTTCGCTAGGAAATTAAATCCTTCTCGTTCATACTGATCAAGAACCTGTAAAACATTTATATTTTTTAAAAGGGGCTGGTTTTAAAAGCATATTACAAGATTTTCACTTCTATAAGCACTTGTCAAAAATGAAACTAAAACTAGAATTAAACATGGGGATAATAACGCAATCTGGAGGGCAAAAACTGGGAGGGCTTGGGATTTATCATTTTTCCTTCTTAGAAACAATGACAATATCCTTTCCAATTCTGATGACAATTTTTCTCAAAAAACTAAAAATTCCAGAAAAGCTGGGGTTCCTACTTCTAAAGTTCACTTGTTAGGAAAAAAAAAAAAAAAGGCCGGAAAAGAGCCAAGAAAAAAATTAAAAAGGATAAAGACAAAGAGAGGGACAAATGGATGGGAAATGTGATCTACCGGCTAGCCATATGTTTTTTTAAAAAACAGAATAGTTTACAAACGTAAAAATAAATTTCACCAGGCATGTCACAAAAGAGGATATCCAAATGGCTGATAAACATATGAAAAGTTGCTCAACATTACAAGTGGTTAGGGAAATGTAAACTAAAACCATAATTAAATCTTTCTTTATATACACCAAAATGGCTAAAATAAAAAAGAAGATACCGAGTACTGGCAAGAATGTAGAACAACTGGGATTCTCATGGGAGTGCAAAATGAGAAAGCCATTTTAGAGGCTTAACACTTATATGTCCTGTGATCAAGCAATTCGACTCCTAGATATATATACCCTACAAAAAAAGGTATGCAGTTGTGTATCAGAAGACCCAAACAAAGTGTCCATAGCAGCACTACTCATGATGGTCCAAACTAGAGACTACTCAAGTGTCCATCAATAGTAGAATGAATGAACAAAGGGGTATATTCATGCAATAGAATACTACTTAGCAATGAAAACAAACTATATTTACTTGCAACAATATAGATAATTCTCACAATGTTAAAGGAAAGAAGAGAGAAGCAATATTTACTGCATGATTACATTTTTTAAAAAAAAGAACAGGCAAAATGAATCTAAGTGAGGAGAATGGGTTACCCATGGAGGGACTGTAACTGAAAGGGGCACAAGGGAGGTTCTGGATACTGATAACATTTGTTTCCTTATCTGGGTGTTGGTGTACTTAGTGAAAAGCCATCAAGCCCTTTTTCTGTATATATGTTGTCCTTCGATAAAAAGATTAAAGGCCTGCAAGTCTTGACAGGAGAACAATTTGAGAATGTCTGAGTTCTCAGAAGCAAACAAAATAATGATTATTATATTTAAAAATTCAAAGATCACAGGAATTTTGAGTGTTAGGAAATAGCGAACCAGAATGTCTCTAAAATTCTCTCAGAACTTGGAAGAAATAAAGAGATGAATGTATCAAAAAGCAGGCATTGAAGATAAATCCAAGAAATCAATTACACATGAAGAGAAACGCTGGAGAAGCAGTAACACAAGAAATAGAAAACAATTTTTTAAAAATTTCTCCATAAAGAAACGAAAATGTATAAACCCTTCAATGCAGCAATTCCACTTCAAAGACTTTTCATACAGATATAGTTGTTCATGGGAAAAAAAATATGTAACGATGCTCACTGAAACACTGTTTGCAGCAACAAAAGATTAGAAGTGACTACTCTTTAATAGGGGGCTGGTTAACAAAATTATGGTGTATTTACAATCAAGGGCATAATCTAGATCCGTTAAAAGAATGAGGTAGCTCTATAGAATTGATGTAAACTTATTTCTAAGACATACAGGTATATTAAAAGCAATGTCCAGACCATGTGTCTAGTATTAATGTCTTAAAAAAATAAAGAGAGAGGAGGAAAGAGGAAGAAAGGGCAATGGAGCTGTGTATATGCCTGTTTATGCATGTAAGATCTCTGGAAGAATACATACAAGTCTATTTTCTCCCCTAGTGCTGGAGGAAAGTCTCAGAGGAGGAGGAGGAAGAGCTCTAAAGCCCTGATAAAGCTGGAGCTAGGAGCGGCAGCCCTCCTTCAGCCACGGGAAACAAAGCCGCAGTAGTGATAAGTTAGGAGAGCAGGGAACTGGGGACCAAGAAGCTCTGGGGTCTGACAGCAGGCAGCAAGGTCATCTGCTGCCAGAGAAGGGGATGGGTGGGCCATGGAGCTTGAGGGGGTAGTGATGGTCTGGGACAGATGCATGGGGAATGTGAGAAAAGGAAGTGGAGGTCCCTGCTCAGGAGAGAAAATATACATTTTGGGAGAAATGTGGTTAAAGATCCACCTAAGCTTTGGCACTCACAGGATAAAGCTAACCGAGAGGTCAAAGAAATTGAGGGGCTGCTGAGTACCAGTGAAGGGAGCCAAGGAAGGTAAGGTAAGACCTGCAGGCCGGAGAGAACAGATACACTGGTGATCATGGAGGAGCAAAGGATGATCAGTACGCCTCAAGGTACACAAAGCAAAGCCCTTGGTTCATGAGCCCCAGTAAATTAATCTGACAACCCAATGCCTGGATAAAAAGGCACTTAGTAACTGAATCCCTCAGTAATAAGGAGATTCCTTACAAACAAGAATTTTATCTTAGGAAAAATATGCATGAAAATTAAGTGATCTTTTTCAAAATGATAAATACTGTGTGCTTAGTGATCACTTATTTCTGAATCACTAAGCTCACTAATTAACTACTCTGTGCCAGGTTTTCAATAAGGTAAAAGAAGAAACAGGCTTGAAAAATGGATAAAAACCTTTAAAAAATTAAAATAATTCCAGAGATGATACTTTGTTGGACCTTAATTAACCTTTCAGATTTCAAGCCCATGTTTCCACAGATAATTTTGCAGTGCTACAAATGTGAATAGCAGAAAAACTAACAGCAAGAGCAGTAGGAGTAAAAGCCTCCCCCATAATCAAGATGTACAGAAAGTTTAATGCTGAAACACTATTCATTGTTCTGGCTTCAAAATTATGTGGAAAAACTTAATCCTCCGGGGGCATATTTAATCATGCAAGAGTTTTCTAGTATTCCCTTTATGTGCTGGGAAGTTAATCTGTGTTACGAGTATAAGCAGCTTATAAAAGGTACAAGGAAGTTTTCCCCTACAGTTTGACCTTCTTAAAGGGGAAAATGTGTTTTAAATTACCCCCCCACCCCCCAAAAAGATACCATTACAATGAATATGAGCATTGCAACAATGTGTCAGTCTACATAAAACATAATGAACCTAAGTAATTATATAATACATGGTACTGAGAAGTATACACATTACATTTTGATAGGTTATAAATACTCTAAAGGTACTGGGAGAGTTTGCTAAGTTAGAGAAATAAGACTCTTTTAATACAAGGATATGGATCTTTTCCTGATGAACATGATTTTCCTTACTTCACTGTTTTACAAGGCTAGGTGAGCTATACTCATGTCACATTCATACTGCTGGACAAAGATTATAGAATCTCTTTTTAAGACATGGTTATAGGAATATCCATTCTCTTGCTGAGATTCTTTGTTGACTCTTTACTAGATCAAACCCATACCCCCCAGCTAGGCATTTAAGTCCCTCCAGAACCCTCCAACTTTGGACAACTCTCTGGAGAATGCCTTTCATAGGGTTAAGATCGCCTGACAATACCATGAAATGATTTACATTTCATGAGAAGCAGAAGAGATACATGGTTTACAACTCTTGTCTATTCTTAAACAAGGATACGAGGAATTGAGTACTCAACCTAAAAAAATAGTTTATGTGTTTTCTTCTTTTAGCTTATGTATTTTCATGCAGTGTCTGCAAACCTCTTATTTAAAGTCTCTGTTGTTTAGAAATTGTATTTACTTACTCTAAATGATTTAAAAATACACATGTGTCATGATTTCTAATATACTCAGGGAAAGTTAGCCCAATATCCCAGATAGGGTAATAAAAGAGTATGGCTGGAAGCCACCAGGACCTTTAATTCCCATCCTATGAAAATCCACAAAAGAAGGGTCAAAACACTCCCATCTGATGGACAGTCACCCAGTAGTCTGCAGAGGCTTTGCTCCAAGGAGGGCAAAACCCTCTGTTTTCCAGTCCTGTTACTAACAGAGCCATTCCATATCACTTTGGATGATGAGCTGGAAGCATCACTAATAAGACCAGGAAACCCCCTGATCTGCTTCTATCTCTTGGTGTCTGGGATTTCTCTCATCATAATAAAAAAGAAGCAAAGAGGAGGAGAAAAAGCTCTGATTTCAGCAGCCCTTACAACTACTGTCCCACCTTCACTGCTCCCAGCTCCTTTCTTGTTTCCTTTTGGTGCTAACCACTGAGAGTGACCCCCTGTCTTCCCCATCAAGTGAGATCTTTCACTTCCATCAAAGTTCAGCTCAAGTACCAGCTCCTGCAGCAAGTCTTGCCTGATTAATTCCACTCCCTGTGATCTTTTCTTCCCTTTTATATTCTGAGCCCACTTTCCAGGTCACGCTAAGTTGCCAAAAGAATTGAAGAAAATGCTCACACTATCCCTGGTAATCAAGAGTTGATGGCATTTCCAACTATCAGCCACATGTTTGGTAACTTTGTTTCTATTTCCATATATCTCAGTGATACAAAGCTGATAATGGATGAGAAAACAGCTTCATATAGAAACATATAGCTATCAATCTAATTAAATCTGCTGCTATTAACTCACTCTATTGGACACAGGCAGGATTTATAAGACCAAACTAGAAAAAAAAAGAGACAAATCTAAGTTCAAGACACGGAATGGTATTACTGGCATATCAAAAATATAGAACAAGTCAGTCTCTTGTTCTTTCCCTAACGTCACCGTACAGTGTACCATCTCAGGCATCCAAATGCAAAATGGGCACAACTATAATTTAGAAGATGTGGAAGAGTTCAAGACAAAACACCAAATAGTATCAACATCAAGATAACTGACTATGGAATAAAAGTCAACACTTTAGTATCTGGTATAACACATAACTGCATTTAAAAAAATCAAGTAGTATATCTCGGTTTTTTCATATACCAAAATCACAATTCTGCTTGAGTTAACTGGGAAGAAGAAAAGAAACTGATAACTGGGAG